TGGCGTAGATCCCCTCTCTACTCGCACAGTCGGATGTCGAGCATGACAATGATCCCGAAAAGGATACGCGATGCATTTTAGAGCACGGCGTGGCATGGCGTAGAAGAGCACCGCAAAGCGTAGTATCAACCTAGCATTGCATTGCATGCCGTGGCATGGCACGGGAAATGACGCCAGCGCTGCAGCGGGAGCACGGGTCGGAACGAACGGAAGCGCGGAAATGAGGCCAGCGCTGCAGCGGGAACACGATTCGGAACGAGCGGAAGCACGGAAATGAGGCCAGCGCTGCAGCGGGAGCACGATTCGGAACGAGCACGGAAATGAGGCCGGCGCCTCAGCGAGAGCAGCATTTTGCAAAACATGCAGGCGAAAACCCAACTCCAGGGAATCTTGTGCGTAAGAAACAGTACGCGGGGGAGGGGCTCATACTTCGGAACCGTCATCAGGGGAAGAGGGAGAGTAGTATTCATACTGTGTAACTGTAGAGGAGGAGGAGGAGGGAGGCCACAGGAGGAGGCCGCAGGAGGAGGCTGCAGGAGGAGGAGGAGGAGGAGGAGGAGGAGGAGGGAGGCTACAGGAGGAGGCTGCAGGAGGAGGAGGAGGAGGAGGAGGAAAAGGGAGAAAGATGAGGGATGCCGCAGGAGGAGGAGGAGGAGGAGGAGGAGGGGCGACGGCCTCGCCCCCCGGGACCCGAGGGCATGGTGGGCGCCATCATCACCGGCTGCGCGAACCACCGGGATTTCGAGACGGCCTCGTCGTTAGGCGTGGCTGCGCCCCCTTTCCTAAGCGGAGGAGGAGGAGGAGGAGGAGGAGGAGGAGGTGAGTTGGAGCTCTCCCTGGACGCCCGAAATGGGCACGGAAAGAATGGGCACAATGCCCAACAGCAGTTCCTGTTCATATCGAACAGGACTCGCTGTCCGCGCCGCCGCGGCCCGTGCCCACTCGAGGCAGAAGGCCGCCTGCCCAGCAGCGGCCGCTGTTGGTTTGGGACCACAATTGTTGTTGGGCATTGTGCCCATTGTTTCAATACCCATTTCGGGCGTCCAAACGGGAGGATAATGGGGAGGAGCGGGAGGAGGAGGGGGGCAGGAGGAGCAGGAGGGGGGGGAGGAGGAGCAGGAGGAGGAGCAGGAGGAGGAGCAGGAGGAGGAGGGGCAGGATGAGGAGGAGGAGGAGGAGGAGGAGCAGGAGCAGGAGGAGGAGGAGGAGGCCGAGGCACCGCCGAGAGCCGAGAGCAGGCACAGAATGTGGTCGTTTTCTGGTGCATTGTTCTGCCGATCGGTGCGGGCTCCCGCCCCCCCCACGATCGGCAAAACAATCTATCGTATAGGGTCCAGCAACAGGGTGACAGGGGCGCAACGATCGTAACAGGGGCCCCTTTGAGCCTTCCCATCTAATCGTATCCCCGCCTTCATGGGTCGGCCTTCATGGCCGGTAACAGGGGCCCTTTGTTACATGCAATGCCTACCTCAGAGGACACGCTGCCGCAAACAGTCGTACTGCGCAGGGGCTCAGAGCCAGACCCCTTCCCCCTTCCCTTCCGCCCAATGTCGACGAAACGCCGAATCAGAGAACGTTCGCAATAGTACCGATATGAGTTTGGGGCCGACTTGGGCCTTTTCGGTGGCCGGCGGGCTGGGTCGGGGGCTGGTGGGAGCTTGTTTGAAAGAATTGAACACTCAGAAATCGAGCACGCCAGGCACCCTTGGTAATTTGATACATCATCAGGGCGCGGGAGATCGAAGACGCCTATGGCGAATCACCGCCGCCCATTGCCTTTTGGAAGCGCCTGTGTGGCCGAACGTTGCGGCCAGGGCTCGGCCAAGTTGTCGGACTTGTTGTTCCCCCAGCCGTTGTGAAAGCCCTTTGGGGCAACACTTGGGAGAGAAAGAAAAAGAGGAAGAAAGGAAGGAAAGGGAGGAGGAGGAGGCCTCATGGGTGTTTGCTGAGGGCCTCTTGGGGGCTTCCATGGGCCTCTTGGGGCCTTTGGAGGCTCTTTGGGACGCTTTTTGACCGTCTGAGGGGGTTCCTGGCCCGTCAGACGCCATCTGAATCCGTCTCGGAGGCCTCTCTGGACCGACTTGGGGCCATTTTGGCTCATAGGGTCGTCTTGGAGAGTCGGAAGCGTGAAAGGGCGAGAACGCTAACATCTTTTGCATAACCACAAGACAATCATGAGTTTGGCCTTCTGGAAGTCCCCTGGGAGCCCCCTTGGGGCATCTTGGGGGCCTCCTGGACTGTCTGGAGGACATCGAGCCGTCGTGGGGCTATCTTGGGCGTCTTGGAGGCGCATTGGAGGCGTCTTGTGTTTGTTCTGGAGGCAATCTTGGGACCACCTTGGTCGTCTTGGAGGCACCCTGGAAGCCATCCTGGCCGCCTCACGAGCGAGTGTTCCAGCTGTTTCCCAGCCTTGTGGGTCCCTGCGGGTGGCCGGCGCTATCGGCCGAGACCCCATGGGAACGCTGACAAAAAAAACAGTGAAAGACCAGGCATGCCGTGCACAACTGTGGCAAGCCAACAGGCTTGGCATCGCTCGGACGTGTGCTTTTTTTCTCGGCGAGGACCATCGAGGAGCATCCTTGACCATTTGCCGAAACAACCACGCACGAAGCCGAAAAAAACACAGGGAATGGACGTCCGAGCGATGGCGAGACAGGGGGTGCCTGATCGACGACGCCTGCGTTGAATCACCGCCGGGCCCTTTCTTTTGGGGCACGCCTACGTGGCCAAACGTTTGGGCAAAGTTCGGCCACGCTGTTGGACCAGATGTTCCCCAGCCGTTGTGGAGGCCCTTCGGGGAACACGTTTGAAAGGAAGAGGAGGAGGGAGGAGGAGGAGGAGGAGGAGGAGGAGGAGGAGGAGGAGGAGGAGGAGGGGCAGGAGGAGGAGGAGGAGGAGGGAGAGAAAAAAGGAGAAAAAGGGGAGCATGGAGAAGGAGAAGGCATCTTGAGAGCCTTTTGGCCTCTGGGGCCACTCTCGGGGCCTCCTGGGAGCTTCCTGGGAGCGTTTTGGAGGTCTCTTGAAGGCCTCCTTGGCCCGCTTGGGTTATGATGTTCCAACCTACTTTAGCCTTGATCACCAGAATGAATTTCGAGCACCAAGAAAACACCCCAAAATTCGAGAATTTTCACGTGTCGGGCCCTGGGAGACACTCTTTCGACACTGTTTCGACACTCTTTCGACATTTTCCTGGGTGCTCGAAATTATGTATGGGATGTGGTCCTTAAGTGCGATGAGAGCAACATAACTCTTGGGGTCATTTGGGGGCTTCTTGGGGGGCATAGTTGGCTGTCTTACGGCGTTCCGGGCCCGTCTGACGCTGTCGAGAGCCGTCTTGGATGCCTTTTTACACCGACTCGGGGTCCTCTGGGGGCGCTTGAGGGCCGTTTTGGAGGGCATCTTTGGGCGCCTTGGAGGTCTCGTGTCCCTTCTTGGGGCCCTCTTGTGGCCGCTTTGGAGGCTTCTTTGGCCGTCACGGGGTCATCTTGGAGGCCTTTGGGGCCATCTGCGGGCGATTTTGGGGGCCTCAGGGGCCCGTCGGAAGGCAGAAAAGAAGCAAACACCTAATTCTGCCAAACAACCTCACGAACATCAGTGATTCGGGCCGCGTCGGGGCCTTCTTGGAGGACCTTTCGGAGGCCTCTTGGGCCATCTTCGGGGCCTCTTGTGCGCTTGTGGTGCCGTCTTGGGCTACCTTGGGCCATCGTAGCGGTCTTGGAGGCATCCTGGGACCGTCTTGGACGCGATCTTGGGGCTATCTTGGGCCCTCGTGGGGCCATAGTGGCCGTCTTCGAGGCATTTGGGCAGTCGTGGAGGCCATCTTGGGACCAGTTGGATCGGCAAGACCGAGGAGACACGCACCGCCGAAGCCCCAGGGGAGGGTGCAAAAGAACCAGAAACGTCCTGAACATCAGCTCGCCAGGTAACCTCCTCCTCCTCCTCCTCCTCCTCCTCATCCTCCTCCTCCTTTGTGGCAGGCCAACAGGGGGCGGCGGATGTAGTGGCCTTCGGCCCATCCCGCCACCGTGCCTGGGTCGTGAACCAGAGGGGTGTCTTCGGGTCTCCTGGGAGGCTTCTTGGGTACTTCTTGGCGGCCTCTAGGAGCACCAGGCATCTTGGGGGGCTCTGGGGCGCTCGCGGGGGCATGTTGGGGGCATGTGTGATACCACCCTCTGGGGCCGAACGAATCGAGCAACAAACAACACACGCGACACGCTCAGGGAGATCCAATCAGAGAAACTATGTATTCATTGTCTGTCGGGGTTTTCTGGTTTCTGCTAGGCCTGGCGGCCCGTTGGGGCCAGACGGATCGCGAGGAGGCGGAGGAGGAGGAGGAGGAGGAGGAGGAGGAGGAGGGGCCATCTGTGGTTGTGGCTCCTTGCGTTTCTGGCCCTTTGACGAGCTTTTTACACTGCTCAGTTCAGGGAGCCCGAGGGGGCCCGAGGACACTCCACTCGTCGCGCACGGCACGCTGGTGGATCCCAGTCAGACATGTTGCGTCGTGTTGTTTTGAAAGAGTTCGGCATGTACTCCAAGACATGTTGCGTCGTTGCTTGAAAGGGTTCAGACATGTTGCGTCGTTTTTTGGAAGGGTTCGACATGTACTCCAAGACAGCTTGCACATCGGTTTGGTTTCCGAAAGCGTCGCTGAGTTTCCTTTTGAATGCCCTCTGAGCGTCCTCTGCATACTGGAATCGTCCGAGCAATGCCCTGGCAGAGTCCCACTTCCAAATGAAACACACGATTTGAAGTTCAGCGGTATAATTATATTTCATCCATGATCAATTGTCCCATCCGATCTGGCATAGATATGCCCCCCCACCCCACAGATGTTCCTTCCACTTGGCATCGCCCCTCCCCTCCCCCGTACACCAAGCATTGTTTACAAGTCGAGACGGCTCAAGGTCATGAGTCATATGTCTGATTGAGAGCAAAGGCGAATCTAGCGTTTCGCGAACAGTCGATTCCACTGTCCCTCGTCATCTTCGAACTCGGGTCAGATGCGGTCGCCAAATGTGATTGCCCTCGTCAATGACATTGAACGACTGGGCGAAGCGCAGGAATGGGATCGGATTCGAGAATTGTTTCAACGCGCGTTCATCAACAAAATCAAGTTGCACCCAGCAGTGTACACTGCTGGTATCAAGACGCTCGGAGAAGGCGCGTACTGGCGTCAATCATTGGCCTTGGTCGGCGAGTTGCGGAAAGCAACGCCAACACCAGGAGTGGCAAGTTTCAATGCTGCAATCGGCGCGTGCGAAAGAGCTGGGGAATGGCAGCAGGCGATGTCAATGCTGAGCGAACTAAGGCAAGCGAAATCGGTTCCAGATGTCGTAACGTACACCTTGACAATGAGCGCGTGCCGAAACCCAGGTGGGAGGGCGTATCTGCCATTGTTGTTGGATGAGCTTCTGCAAGATCAGTTGCATCCAGACCTTGTTGTCCACAGCCTTGCAATCAAGGAGTGCGAGGCCGCCAGGAGTTGGCAGCATGCGTTGGCTTCGATGAGCGACCTGTTGCAGACGAAGATGGGGCTTGATATGACGTTCTACCACGCTGCAATCACCACTTGTGATTCCCAGGGAGACTGGCAGCAGGCGGTGCAGTTGCTGAAGGGGATGCGACAAGCGAGTGTGAAGCCAAACGTCGAGGTCTACAACAGTGCAATCAGTGCGTGTCGCAAAGGATTGGCTCACAAAAGGCATATGGAAAACATACTCCTCCTGTTGTCCTTTCCTCTCTCATCCTCAGGTGGTGTGAAGTACCTCGGTCCACTGGTGTGGTTGATGTGTTTCATGTTGGGTCAGGGCTATCCGCACTGATAAAACATCGAATGGCCTTCGGCCCATCCCGCCACCGTGCCTGGGTTGTGGGGATGAAGCTTATTGGATGTTCGCCGGAATCTGGTGGGGGGCTTCTCGGGAGCCTTTCGGAGACAGTTTGGACGCCTCGTGGGGGCCGTTTGGGGGCCTCTTTTGGGCATCTTGAGGGCCTCTTTTGGGCCTCTTGAGAGCCTCGTGGGGGCCTCTTGAGAGCCTCTTGGGGGCCTCTTGAGAGCCTCTTGAGAGCCTTTTGAGAGCCTCTTGGGGGCTTCTTGGGGCCTCCTGGGCGGACGGCTCGGATCTTCTGTTCGTGCACTCCCTCTTTTGGGGCCCCGTGTGGGGCCGTCTTGGGCCCTCTTTGGCCGTTTTGGGCGCCCCTTGGACTGTCTAGGGGTCCTCTTGGTCCGTTTTGGGGGCCCTCTTGGAGGCCTGTTGGGCTGTCTTGGCGGTCTCGGGGGGCCTCCAGGGCCGTCTGGGAGCGTCGGGGAGCCGAAAGGCGAGAACGCCAAGTCCTGCAAAAAAACGAGAGGAGAACCGATGATTTGCTCTTGGACCGTCTTGGTGGCCTCTGGGAGCCCTCTTGGCACGTCTTGGGACCCTTTTGGCCCGGAAAGCCCCAGGGGAGCGCTGCGGGAAGCCCAAGAGGATGTGAGAATTTGGGGTCCAGTTCCTTCAGAACTCCTCACAAGTGACGATTAAGGCTCAGAGGAGCAGTTGAAGGACTTGAGGATACGCCCACTCCTTGCCCAGCGGCACGGTGGCAGATTGTTCATAGCATATTGTGTGTCTTAGCTTTCCTCATCCTCCGAGGACGGGAGCGACAGCACGTGTTCGCGCTCCTGGGCGAGTTGTCGCAAGGACAGCTCAAGCCTGACATCATCACCTACAACGCCGCGATGTGGGAGTATGCGGAGGGCGGGAGGTGGCTGCAGGCGATGACAGTGTTCTCACACGTTTCTTCCACCTCCTCCACATGCTCTCCTTTCCCGCCTCCGCTTCCCTTCCCCCGCTCCCCCCGACCCCTCCTGGCAGCAGGCGTTGGCGTTGCTCCGCGGACTGGCGGGTGTTAGTATACAGCCCGACGTGAACAGCTGCTGCGCTGCAATCACGGCGTGCGAGGGAGTTGGCAAATGGCAGCACGCGATGGCGTTGCGCAGCGATTTGTTGCAAGAAGAAGATGATGGGAAGGCAGCTGCCATCGGATATACCATTTTGATCAACACGTGCGCACAGTGGCGACAGGCTTTGTCGTTGTTGGACGAGTTTCGCCGAAGAAATTTGGATCCAAGCTCCATCCGATCCAGCTATAACCCTATATTCAGCATGTGCGCGGAGAGCGGCGAGTGGCAGCAGGTGTTGGCATTGTTTGCCGATCTTCTGTTAGCACAGATGGAGCCAGATGCAATCATGTACGATGGTGCTATCAGCGCGTGTGGGATAAATGGTGAGTGGCAGCAGGCGTTGTCGCTATTTTGTGATATGCCGCAGGCGAAGCTGAATCCAAACGCCATAAACTTTCTCGCTGTAATCACCGCGTGCAGGACAAGCAAGAAATGGCAGCAGGCGTTGACGTTGTCAAACTCGTTTTTTCGGACCAAGCTGCATCCGACCGTGCAGATCTACAACGCAGCGATGCGCAGCTGCCAGGTGGGAATGACATGGAAACACGCGCTGCATCTGTTTTGGCAGATGTGCGATGGAAGGTTGGAACCGACCGCCACAAGCTACAATGCTGCAGTAGACGCATGCTCCACAGGCAGAGCCTGGAGGCAGGTGCTGGGACTGCTGAGCGAAGCTTTGCGGGCGGAGCTGGAGCCAGATGTTGCCCTTGCTCTTAACGACAAGGCAATCACCGCCAGCAAGAGTTGTGGGGAACCGCGATCAATATAGGGGGACGAACAGTGACATAAACATAAAAACTCTGAGGTCCGCGCGGATTTCTCGGATCGGCGCTGGGGCCCCCCGGCGGCGCCTCCGGCGCCGCCCCTGGCGCGCTCCGCGCGCCAGGGAGGGGGGTCCAGCGCCGATCCGAGAAATCCGCGCGGACCGCCGAGTTCTTATGTTTATGTCACTTTTCGTTCCCCTACAATAGTCAAATCACTCGAACAGTCTAGGCCGAAGTTGGCCAATTTCCATGCCGCACTCCAGGCGTGCGAAGCGGGAGGCGAATGGCAGCACGCGTTGGCACTGTTGAAAAGGCTGAGGTCAGCGAGATTGGAGCCCAACGTCGCAACCTATAGTTCTGTGGCCAGGGTGTACGAGAGAGGCAAGGGTGAGCAGCCGCTGATCTGGTTATTGAGCGACGTATTGCGACACAAGCTTGACCCCGATGCCACTTTTTACAGCGCTGCGATGGACGCGTGCAAAGAAAGTGGTAACTGGCGACTGGCTATGTTTTTGTGGAACTGCTTGCGGCAGGCAGAAGTGAAGCCAAATCGTGCCTGCTTCAACGCTTGCATTGGCTCTTGCACGCAAAGCGGTGAGTGGCAGCAGGCGCTGACGGTACTCGGGGAATTGTTGGATTTGGCCAGGCTCAATGCGCGTTGGCGTGACTCCTTGGCTGTGAACTACAGGGCCATACTCGACGCCTGCAGGTCAGAAGGCTTGTGGCAGCAGGCTTTGGAACTAATGACAGGGATGCAGCAGCTAAGGTTGGATGTTGACGTTGACAAAGTATTGAAAGCATTGCCGACATTGTGAAGCTGTGATGTGGGAGGACTTTTTGTTGAAATCATCTCGTGGGAAATAGAGAAGATGAGAGCGAGCAATCTTGAAGCCGGACGTCGCTCTCTAATGGACCCGGGGCACGCGTCGAAAAGTATTTCCAGGGTGTTGCAGCGCCGGTTTGTCCATCCACGTATTAGCCCAATATTTTGTTGCCCGGGCGCTAGTGATTGTTAATCAGCGGATTCTGGCAAGTGGTGCCGAAGTCGATGTTTCGCTTGCAGTTTTATTGATGTGTCGAGTACTCCCCACCAGCCTGTCCAGCAACGATGTTCATGTGAATTGCATTGATCAGAAAAGTTTGGGAACACGCAGCGGGACAAAGGGGGGGCATCCGCCAAGCCAGGGATCGGGATCAGCCTGAGCAGTCTCAGGAGATCATAACTGCCATCGCCAGTCAACCATAAATGCCATCGATGATCATTTGGTATGGGGCCCCTTGGCAGGTTCCTTGGGCTGTCTTTGGGCCCTGTTGGGGCAATTTGGAAGCCATCGAGGCCATCTTGAAGGCCACTGCTAAAAAAGGGGGTCTACGTAATTATTGGCCTTGCTCCTGCTGAGCACAAAAAGTTGCCGCTTGTGGCGCTCTTGGGGCCATCTTGGGCCTCTCTTGGGACCATCTTGAGCCATCTTGGAGCCATCCTGAGGCCTTCAAAGCAAATCGGAAGTGAACAGGCGAGAAGGCAACACAGACACATTCGTTCTCCATGGGGGTTGGAAGACTGTTGGTCTCTTGGGGTCCACTCGGGGCCGTCTTCTGGGTGTATTGGTGTATTGGGGCCTCCGAGGCGTAATGGAGGCCATCTGGAGCCATCTCGGCGTACATTGGGGCATACTGGAGGCCACCCTGGGGTCTCTGAGGCCATCTTGCCCCCATTGTGGACCCCAAACTGAGGGTCAGTGCAGGGGGGACGAGCAAGCTGCGTGAGGCCATCTTGCCCCCAGTGTGGACCCCAAACTGAAGGCCCGTGCAGGGGGGACGAGCAAGCTGCGCGGTGTGAGCCACCTGGTGCAGCCTGTGCGGCGGCAGCCGGGGCGCGCCGGGCGGAACCGCGGCGGACCCTCGGCGCGATCTCACACGAGAGGCGGCACGGGCGGCAACGTGGCGCCTCCTCGGCAGGCCCGCCCCCAGCGCTCGCGGCGGCAGCGGGTGGCAGCGCGGCAGGTCCTGGGCAGACCCACACGGGCGGCAGCGGGCGGCCGCGCAGCGAGTCCGTGGCACGCCCCCTTGCATCGCTCGGGCGCGCCGGCTTCTCGAGGGCGGGGGCCGTCGAGGAGCGCACACCCCGCCACGCTGCGAGGAAGGCCGCGCACGACACCGAGAAGTGCGCGGGGAGGGGACGTCCGAGCGACGGCAGGACGCCGACTGGCGGCAGCGGGCGGAAACGTGGCGAGTCCTCGGCGTACAGTCAACGCGCATAGGAAGGACGCGCGCCTCTTCTAGGGTACCCCTGTGTCCTTGCTCCTGCGGCCCGTCCTTTGCCGTTTCCATTGGGGTTTTGGTCGCCCGCCGCCCACAAATCCCGAATTCGGCCTCCAAGGGTCTTGCGTCCTTACCGCGCGTCCTTAATATACGTTTTCGTTGTACGCGCACAGAGGCGGCGCCGGCAGGCAGGGAGGTGGCCACGGGCGGCAGCGGGCGGCAGCGGGGCGAACCCTCGGCACCCCACGCAGCGCACGAGGCGGCAGCGGCGCGGCAGCGAGGCGGCAGCGAGGCGGCAACGCAGCGAAGCCTGCGGCAACGGGCGGCAGCGTGCGGATCTTGGGCATACCTCCACAGCGCACGAGGCGGCAACGGCGCGGCAACGGGCAGCAGCATGGCGAATCCTCGGCATACGCCCACAGGCGGCAACGGGCGGCACCGAGGCGAGTATTCGGCATACCCCCACATGCGGCACAAGGCGGCAAAGAGGCGGGCGGGTCCTCGTCATACCCATCCGAGTCCTCGGTGACGGAAGTAAGAGCCCCTAAGTGCAAGCATTGTTTTGGGAAGCAATGTTGTTTCGATGATGTTGACGTTGAGCGAAGGGGGCGTTTTTAACAGCATCGCTCCTCAAGAGCCCCTGACATCGCATGTTAGGACGCTCATGGGACCTTCTTGGGTTTCACTTGGTCCCCTCTTGGCGCCTTGTTGAAACATCTTGGAGCCACCTGGAGACCTCGGAAGGCCATGAGAAGCGACACGGCGAGAAGGCAAGACACATTCATGTTCTTTGGGCTTTAAAAGGAATTGGGCTTCTCGGGGGCGTTCTGAGGAGACTCCAGGGCCACTTGGACCCGGCCTGGAGCGGTCGCTGGGCCATGTTTGAGCATGTTGGAGTATGTTGAGCCGTGTTGGAGGCCAGATTGGGTTCTCTGGGGCCCCTTTGGATTCATTTTGGCCATCTTGGAAGCTCCAACGCCTCGGCGCCCGTCCCATCCCGACTCCTCCTCCTCCTCCTCCTCCTCCTCCTCCTCCTCCTCCTCATCCGCCTTCTCCTCCTCTTCCTCCTCCTCTTCCTCCTCCTCCTCCTCCTCCCCCTCCTCCCCCTCCTCCCCGGTGGAGGGGTTGAAGAAGGAGGGTTGAAGAGGAAGCTCGCTAAACCACTCCCGCCCTGAGGGCTGGTGAAATTACCCACGGGCGCTATGTGACTTCGCCGTCAACAAGGCAAATGAGCAAGCAGAGGAAGGAGTGTGTGAATCGGATTCCGCCGAGCTCGATCGAGGTGATCGCGCACCTCTCTTTGAGGCAACAAGCGCAAGACCATGCGACAAGATAGCAGGTTGTGGCTGCACTGCACTTTGCGAGTTGGTGGAGTCACGAGCACAGTCACTGTGAGACATTTGGGGGGGGTTCAGACATGTTTATTCCCTATCATCCTGTGGTGTTGGGTCCTCGTTTTGAAGAGACAGCGCCCCGAATCTCCTCTCCTCTCCTCTCCTCTCCTCGCGTCCTCCTCCCCCTCCTCCCATCCCTGCCTCTAGCCTCTGCATGTCAACCATTCTGGCACACCCCTCACGCGCTTCGTGACCCCCTTGGGAGCTCCACCGAACGCCCCAGAGGCCGCCTTCGCATGCGTCAGCGCCACCCCTTACAGCGCCTCGTGGCCCCAGAAGGAGCTCCACCGAAGGCCCCAGGGGCAGCGGCCGCATGCGCCTCCTCGCCCAGTACAGCGCCTCGTGGCCCCGTGGAGGGCTACACCGGAGGCCCCAGTGGCCGCGGCCGCATGCGTCCCCCCCCACCCAGGGCAGCGTGTCGTGGCCCCCTGGGCAAGGTGCACTCCTCTTCATCCCCCCCCCATCTATCTTTAAGTCGGGCCTGTCCCTCTACATGGGGAATCTCAAGAAATAGAGAACAAAAAAAGTCTGGGGACGATTTCTTGAGTATCTTGTTCACAATGTTTGAGTATTCTTTGACTATTTGTAACTTCTCTTCGAAGGTCCCCCTCTAGGGGGACAGGCCCGACTTGAATCGATCTTCCTCCCCCCATTCAGCAACGCCCGGCTCCCGGTGAGCCTCCCTGGGGAGGTCCATCCAAATGCCTTGCCTTCCGACCCTGGACTTCGAGCTTCGAGGGTCGGAGGGCCAGGGGCGCTCTTGGTCCCTTTGGGGCCTCCGGAGTGTTTTCGACGCGACGGCTGGACTCGGGGGTGGACAGAACCCCCAACAGTGATACGTCGATTAGTGGATAGTTCGTTTTCGGTTCTCGAGAGGGCGCCGCGGCCGTTATTTTCCAGGCTTGCGCCCGCCAGGTTTGGGCCTCAGGTCGTTTTCACTAAACCACGTTTTACTGAAGGGAGGTCTGTCCATCGCCGACTGGACCCGCCTCGAACCGGCCAGAGCGCACCCCTGGACAGGTTCGGAGGCCGAGCATTTTGACCGACCTCTGGCGACTCGACACGCCCCTGCGGGGAGGAGCCTCGATTTTCAGCAGCTGTCACCACCCACCAAACCACCCCAACCCAACCCGAAGGCCTCAAATTGACCTCCATTTCCAGTGGGGGGGGGTCGGGGAACATCGAGAAAACGCATATGGAACCCGTACCCCCCCCCCAACCCGAAATTCGGGTCTTCGGGTTGGGTTGGGGTGGTCTGGTAGGTAGTCAAGCTGGAGGCCGATTCCAGGCCCCGGGTCCTCACAAGACGACTCAGGCGGAAGAGTCGCTCCTCTTGGGAAGTGGTCGAGAGCTCCGGGGGCCACCCGTCTGAAAGGCCTTTCAGGGGGGCACGAGTGGTGTGCTGGGAGTCCTCCTGGTGGTGCCTCCAGTGACAGGGAGTACTCCAGATTTCGTAATAAAGGGAAGGGGGTTTCATTTCGGGGGGGGGTCTCTTCCAGGCTATCTTGGAGGGCCTGGGGGGTCTGGGGACGATGTTTTGGAGGGTTCTCCCACGGGGGGGGGTCTGAAATGGCTTGTCTTGGAGGGTCCAGACCTCCTCCCTTTCATTACGAAATCTGGAGTACCTGAAGGACGGCTCAAGCAGGGGTTAAATCGGGCGTGTCTCTCTACAGGAGGAATACCCCGAAATAGTCAAAAAATAGTATGGGGACGATTTTTCTATTATTTGTTGTCCATTTTGGGGCATGTTTTTGTTATGTTTGGTTCATCGTCCAAATTCCGCCTGTATGGGGGACATGCCCGACCTGAAGCCCGGGGGGGAGGGTGTTGAGCCCTCTCCCTTTCCAAAAGCAGAGGGTGGGCGGCGGTCCCCCCCCCGCTTCCGGCGCAGACACCTGAAAGTCTTGGCAGCAGCTCGTGCAAGCGTTAAGTCGGGCCTGTCCCTCTACAGGAGGAATACTCAAACATATTCAAAAATATTCGGGGGACGATTTTTTTTACTATGTTTGGGTATTTAGGAGCATTGTTGGGGTACTTTGAGTTTTTCGCCCTACTGTAGGGGGACAGGCCCGACCTAGCGCAAGCGGCTAAGTCCATCCCTCGGTTTGAACATGCCCTCCCAGACGCATGTTTTCGTGACGTGGGCCCCCAAGGGACCT